TTTTGGTGGTCGTCTTAAAATATAATAGATTTTATAATTCCAATGGAAAAACTGTACCGATTTTTTTTGTATGCGGAGTGATGCAGTCTAATGTACATACATACATACATATGCATGCATAGCTTGGACCACGAAGCACTTTTTTTAAATTATCTATGCAAAGCACATCGCAGACAAAATGCATAAACTATTTTCCATTTATCAATACTAAACTCAAGCTTCAAATCTATTTTAATAAATAGCTTCATCCTTGAGTGAGTAGATATATGTATGTATGTATCTCATGACACAACACTTTAATTCAGCACATGACAATGACCTTTGAGAAGTAGAAATATTCCATTGCATCATACATATATACATAAATATTTCAAGAAAATATATCTTTATTCAAGTATCTATTATTTTCTGGGTAGAAGAATGGAATAATGCAAAAGCATTTTTTCCGCTTACAAAATCTGTATACATATTGAATCATTGAATGCACATAAACGCATACATATGTACGTACTTCTAAACCAGCAGATAATATTGCATAACAATCAGAGGTCAATTGTTTGTTTTATTCATACGTATTTACAAATATTATTAGACAAAATCAACCACACAATTATTTACTTTCTTTGATTTTTGTTATCTTTACTTCTATAAATGTCGGTTTTCACTTATTTAAGCAAGAATTCGCACAATCGAACAATTTAGAATTAAAAGAAATAATGCAGTTTTATCCTGGCACCGTAAACATTTACTCTACCAGTATTAAGAGTTTTAATTGTTTCCAATCAGACGAAGTTATGTCGAAGTTTGCGAAGATGGCTCGAGCACCCCCCTGCCCCTACCTGGCTACGCCCATGTGTGTTAGGTGCTCGTACCCTTTGTATGCACATATTAGAAATGTTAATCCCGGGATACCGGACTTTTTAAGGTCACGAAAATCCCGTGATTCTTGGCAAGTAATCCCGGGATTTTCGGGATTTGTAATTTGCACTGATGGCAGTAATAGAAACTCCTTTTCTTGACCAGTATTTTTTTATAAATGTCTAGCTCATTATACATATAATACCGCGAGATAGTAAATTTTAAACACAAATATCAATATATTAGCGAAACCATGGGCCAAATATAGTAAAATTGCGTTTTTAGTTTCTCACTCTGACGTCAGTAATTTAAAAATGATTTAAAAAACTCAGAGAAATGTGCTTGGAGAAGAAGTACAGGTATAAAATTAATGAGGAAATTCTGCAGAGTTTAAACAGATTCAAGTTTTTGGTGCAGAAGTGCTGGTAAATATTGAAAATGTCATTTGAAATTTTATCCTTAAAATTTCGCAATATTTGTTTTTGAAAAAATTATATGTTAAGGGCTTATATAAACTCGATAACATCCTCCAGTTTCGTTTTTCTAACTTTGTCGGCATAAAAATTACCTATTCGTCCTTGTGAATCCAAAAAGTTTAAATTTTTTTAAATTCTAAAGAAATTTCCTATTGCATTTGTTACCCATATTTTTATTCTAAATCGCATTGAATTTTTTTTAACAATTTTTGGAATTATTCATATCTATGAATTTACAATGTCCATCAAAATAAATCCTGCGGTCATAGAGAAAAAATAAAAACGCTACTTTATATAAAAAAGTTGGTTTCAAACCCATTTATTATTATTTTCATGGTAGGAGGACTTCTCAAACAATATAGAATCAATTTTTTTGACACAAGTTGTTGAAAAGTAATGAATATCTAAATCCCGGGATACCGGGATTGTGACAACGCCATCCCGAAAATCCTGGGATCGGAAAAAGCAGAAAAATTAACATCCCTAATATATATTAAATTTTTATTTTTTTTTATAATGACAATATAATGTGCAGCGCACATGTTTAAAGTTACGTGTTCGATTTATCCAACGCTAGCCGCAACTCAAGGTTGAAAAATCGACTGGATCTATATAAGTCTTAGTTATCATGTCGAAGCAGGCACAGGTTCAGCGGGACAATATTGAGTATCCATATCGCCACATGATTATTTTAAAAATCTTTTCGCATTTTATTTACTACCGTATGTGCCTTTTATCAAAATAATAGGCACCTTATTAGCAAAAAATTGAGAACTGGTTGGCAATTTTAAATTTGATAACATCAATAATATGTTATTTGTGTTGTGTGTGTTTGTGTTGACTCAAAATTTGATTTGGAATCGAGTATTATACGATCACGGATGTCTTAATTCAGGGCAAGATTTATGGAGGTCGCTTTTCCTGTAAATCATGTACACTCTGCAAATCCGACACATAAGGGGGCAGAGATACTATTTCATCTTTGGCAGGATAAGAGCGAGATAAAAATTGCCACAAATTTTTATTTCGGTTCAAGTTTGGCTTAAAGCGTGTTTGCATTGTTCACCCTTTCACCGGCGATAAGTTGAATCAAAGTTGAACGAAAAGTACAATTTTTATTTGAAAATATTATGCCATATTCAAGGCTGAATACACTGAGCCAAAAGCACAATGGTTTTTTCAACCAAGTTATGGTTTGATTTTTTCATGGTCAATAAGCCGACTGTAAGAAATGTGATTCAGGTTGAACATTTGAGAACAATTGTTGGCTGCCAGCAGTACCAGTGCCGTCAGCGCGATACATAATTTTTAATTTTTTGTTTTTGGTTTTTCTTAATTCTTAATTACTTTTTTTTCTTTTTCTTTCTTAATTACTTAATTCCTCTGCGAAATTCAGAACCAAATCAAACAACGAAGAAAATTGCTTCAAGTTGAACATTTGAAGATAAATTTATAAAGCGGCTGTAGCTGAGTGTGTAGAGATGCTTCCTCTTATTTGATAATCCCGCCAGAGGCAATATGCTAGAATGATAATAAAAACTTTTTTTTGTATCTCCGAATTATGGAAAAGCATCTGTGAAGTGCAGAACACAAACGTATTCAAAAGAAAAATCGCCAACCAAAAGTTTGGTTAATGTAAATAAAATTGGGGTCAAAATAACCAAATCATTGTTGAAAATATCTACCAAGGCATTGTTAATAATAACCAAAATCACGTTGATCTCTTTTCAAGTTTGAATTTGGTAATGTGAACCAATCTTTGGTTGATTTTTCTCTCAGTGTATGTTTACATATGTACATATATAGATATGTACATATATGAACATTTTTTATGTACATACACTGGCGATCAAAACTGAGTGCATGGCAATTTTTTCAAATATCCACAATGTTTTGCAAGTAATTTTTTCGTAAAAATAGTTTTCTTGCTTTAAACAAAACCATATACATGCCTCAATCAAACTTGCAAACTTAATAAAAAATTTTAATAAATGCAACAAATTTCCATCTAGATTCTGGACTTTTTAATCTGAATTCTTGGATACGCAGTTACATGCCCCATGAAATTTTTTTTAAAATGAGTGCAAGTTTTAAACAGCGATTTTTTCATATAAGAAATGCAATTTATAAAAGCTGGCGTTGATTTTTAAATTTTTTTTTGTAAACGGTCTTGCGCATTTTCTTCAAATTCACTACACTACATGGTCTTTAGCCGCGTAAATCTTGCACTTATTTTACTAAAATCTCTTTCAGATTAAAAAATCCAAAGTTTTTATGGAAATTTGTCGCATTTTTCTAGAGTTTGTATTAAGTTTGAAAGTTTAAGTTATTTGGCTTTGGCTAAAGCATGAAAAATATTTTTATAAAAAATAACCAAACAATTAACATGTTATAACATAGTAAATACATATTTTAAATAAAATCACCATGCACTCAGTTTTGATCGCCAGTGTAACTTTGTTTTGTTCAAATGATATGGAATTTGTATTTATGAACGCTTTTATTGTTCTATAAGCGAATAAATCAATTTTCTGTTGAATACATTTAGTTTTATTTGTCCACCGAAAAATACCCCTTTTTCTTTCTCAATTGTACCCCAAATCACAAAAATTGTTCTTATCGATACCCCTTCCGGCATTTCAGGTCTGGCAACTCTATATGTGCAAGAGCTGCAACGTTGCCCTTCATACACAATGTTTTGAGTTCTACCATTTAAAATACCAAGCTCAATGAACATTTTGTTTTGTCTATCTTAATGAAAGCTTTTTCATATTTTTTAATAAAATGCGTCCTTAAAAAATAGTAAGTTACTCAATGAGGGAGCAAATGCAGAATACCTACAATTCTCAAATTAAAAAAAAAAATATATATATATATACATATATGAGTATCGATATAGATTATTGGGCTGAACATAACGGTATATTTTTATTTTGGGAAACAACAACTGCAAGAGTTATTAAAGGTCAAAGTTCAAATTAAGCATTTTTTAAATCAGAATTTTTCAAAAACCCTTTCATGGAAAATTTTGATATCATTCGCTAGAGAATTCAATACTCTTTAATTTAAAAAATCCATGAAAGGGTTTTTGAGAAATTCTGATTTAAAACGTGCTTTATTTGAACTTTGACCTTTAATAACTTTTGTAGTTGTTGTTTCCATCCCCAAAAAAATATACCGCTACGCTCACCTCAATGATCTCTATTAATGCCAATATAATTTTTTTAATTTTCGAATTGTAGACAGCTTTGCAGAGCGTGCAATCCATTCACCGCGCAATGGCTTTGCAAGACTACGAGAATACCCCTAATATTTCAAATAAAACCGCCTAAAATATTCAAAAAAAACGGCTGAGACCAGTTTGTAAAAACCGAGTCAATTGCCCTATAAAATACTCACAAATAATAGAAAGCGACAGCAATCTATGGAGTTAAGTGTAAAATATAAAGCCGCTATATATTTTCATAATTGGCTGCACAAAAATTTTATTAGAAAACAAAGTTTTTAAGCGCCTACCCATTTTATGAAATTTCGAATGCAGCAGCTTATAAATGCAAACCTGCTGCGTGTTTAGTCAACATATTTTCATACATAAATTCCAAATATTTACCATAGGCACATATTTAAGTGTTTTCATAACGCAAATATTTTGTGTTAAAAATTTACCTTTGTTTGTATTTGAAATTTTACAATTTTATTTAGCAGTTAGTCGGACTTTTTCGTTGCGAATTCAAAGTATTTAAAGTTGTTGTTGCATGCGAGTATAATTTAAGCATATCTGCTTAGTTTAAGCGTTTGAATTTTTTCACATTCTAGTTAAAATGTTGTGGATGTATTTACATTAACTGCATATGTGTGTATTTACTTGGCTAGGCAAGTTAGTAGTGATTGCATTCAATTTACTTCTATTTAATATTTTTTTTGTGCTGAATCAACATACATATAATATTTTTTTTATAAGTACACTACACAAATCTAAAATTTTACTGGTGTATGTGCTTTTTTTGTTCGTAGAATATATTATTATTTTTTATTTACGTACATAGGTATGTATGTATGTATGATCGCATTAGAATTCATATTATTCAAGTTTGGTGCATTTTTGCGTCAGTAACTGTTTTGTCGTATATCCACTCGGATTTTTTTTTTTAGTAAGCTCTTGATATTAATATTCCAACGTTTTGAAATTTACGACACCGTTTTTTTCTCAATGATGAGCAATCGACAGCAATTAAATTTTTACTTCAATAATTTCTGTTTAATTTTTACTGGTTTGCATTTATTTTTTAGTGGAATTCTTACAAGCAACTAATGCAACTTTTATTTTTACTTAAATTTTTCATGAATATCAAAGTCAATCACGGCTTGCTGCATATTCTTACTTATTCGCCTTTAACACCGTTAATTTTTATTATTGTTGCTTTGTTATTGCTCTTCATTGATTTTTACTTGTTTTTGATTTTATTTTCATTTGCATTTTTATTTTCATTTTTATATTTACTACTTAATTTCGTATTCATACCGCCGCTAAGCAATTTGCCAAATTT